CTGAGAGACTGGTAAACTCCAACGGAGATCATTTCGACTCGGCCCTCATTACGGTAGCTATTACTGTGCTTCCTTATGAACCAATCTTCACAGTGGATATCATCATCAACAGAAGTTCGTAGGACCTACTATGAACCGAACTCGTATGGTCTCCAATTTGTTCATGGTTTTCAAGTTGTGTAATCAGTCGAGACTGCTTACACAATAATGAGATTACACCTTGAAAAAACCCTTGTGAACTCAGAATCAGGAAAAGAAGAATAGAAACGCCGTGATCACAATGAGCTCGAAGAAACTACACAAAAAATGCATGGAGTTCAGTTTAGTTTAGTTGTGGTCACTCCAAACTCATCATTTGGGGCAAATTCGACTCAGAGGAAAGGTGTCAGGGATCCCTCAAAGCCTCAGTTGTACCTTGCTTAATCCTGGAACTTCGTTGTTTGATTGGTGTATTATAACGCGATAAACTGACTAAATAACTATGCTTCGGAAGTCTCAAACTTGTTCGGTTGTAGGTCAAATGCTACTAGTTAGCAGCAAAGCCTAAGCACTGAAGCATAGGCATTAGATTTGTTGTGTCACCCGGAACAACTTGATCTCTTACATTCATTGTGTCTAACACTTCTTTTTTGAGTCCTCCCATGAATCTGAAATTGGCTAGCGTACGAGATTATATGATGCTCAAGTTTCCCTAAAACTCAGGGTCTCTTAGATGGGAGAACAAACTCCAATTGCAATTGTTATAAGAGATTGGACAGTGAATGCTCATCTTAAGAGTTCTGAACCGAAAATTCGTGTAAGGAGCTTTTGAAATTGATTTCTGACCGGGGTTCTGAGCTAAATACCACATGGGGTAAGCCAGTAGTGTGCTGAAGACTGTAAAACCTGAGTGATCTGCGAAATTTTTGATCTGACATTTTGAAATCTGAACATCTGACATTTTTGGGTTTGGATTAATTGCTGGATTTGGTGAGCAGGTCACGTTCACCTGTCGCTTGAGAATTTTCGGTATCACGAATACACTGTAGGACCCATTTTCTATGCATCATTCTAAATTTACTGCTTAAAAATCACGATCTTCATCATCAGTTTCGTTCCAACTGGCACCAGGATCGGCGCGTTTTTTCTCAAACTTCCTCACAATCGCCTTGTCCTTGTCGTTGCAGCCAATTTGGGTGAAGATTCGTGTCATGGTTCCTAATAATAGTGTCTTTCCACGAGTATCAAACGACCAATATGAGGTTCGGTGAAACGATTTAGTTTTATTGCAAACGGCAGAAAAAGCAACTCAACGATTCCTGGTGTTGCACGCCACAAAGTCTTTTTCGAGAATGATCATAGCTGGAAGGTTCAGGATAGCGCTTCTAAGAATTAAGATGTGACAGTCCTGGAAGATTTCCTCTTGCGGGATGTGGGGCATTCCCTTTGGTGCTGCTCCAGGTTCCCCTTGTGCTACATCTGTGCTACATGTGTGGGTCTACGCATGGTTGCTGAGAACCAGCACCCTTCTTTTCAATTCAAAATTTGGTTTGCCCTATTACGTGAGCAGTAACCCCATACATCACAACAACATATTATAGCACATTTAAACACGGCTGGGCCTTCGCTGGTCTCTGAAGATCGAAGACCGTCTTTCAGCATCATCCGTTTGCAATTGTTCTCCTCTGCTTGGTGAAGCTTCTATCATCGAATTATCTCCTACGTTCCTCCTGCTCTTGCCTTCGTAAGAAAGGCAGTTGCTATGCTTACCACTATAGACCTCTGTTGCAGAGCCATTGGGGTCCTACTGTACCTTGACTTATGATTTCGAATTACGATATCATTTTCGTATTCATTTTCCATCGGTCTATTCCCACTGGTATAGGTAATGGAGGGAGACGAACGGAAAAGGTGATACCCTCTAAGCATCCCATCTTGAAAAGGTCCTACAGGCTGCAAGGTCGTAGACTGCAGCGTAATCAAAGACTATTTTTCCTTCCTTCATAACTGCTCTAATATATTTGCCTACGTAGATTCTTTCTGGGCTTCTTCTAACTTCTTTGTGGGTTGACATTAGATCAAGTGCTGTAATAAGGCAATTAGCTTATCGATATTACTGTCCATTACCCCTTTTTATCGTTACCCACGCTTCCATCGCTGGTTTTGTCTGCAACGAGGACTCGATCTTTTATCCTCACACCATCGCCCTTAATGCCTATGTAATGTAGTTCCAATGTTCCCTTTCCTCACAATAGCAACCTTTCATCCGCTTGCACTTATTGGTTAGTGTTACAACTCAATCTTAATCTAAGTTTGACGTGGCCTTTCTGGTGCAAGTCGTTTGCCCTCGGTAGCTCTCGTGTGCTGACCACGACGGTTACGACCCACTTTTCCCATTTCTTTCTGGCCCAGTAATTAAAATCGAGGCCTTCCTGAAACAGATTTGGCCTTACCCTCTTAATTACTCGGCTATTCTTTTCTAAGTTGGTGTATATAGTGCACCTAGAAGATATCATTCGCGTAGGGGTTGATTTTTACAGTTTTACAACTTGTGTACTTGTGTAAGTAAAACCTAACCCGTCACTAAAATAAATGGGAACGGGATCCTATTCAGCCTGCTTTGAAAATGCACGACACTGAATGGATAGAAACTCATCCTTCACGACAGAGAACACTGAAAAGTACGTGATTTGAATTATTCTCTCCAAATTTCAGCTCTCACAATTTATTCTGCATGACTAATTGCTCCTTCTCGCTCCCATAGACCAGTATAAGCATTACCATTTTCTCCGCATATCACAAATACAGAAGCGAAAGTATTTTCTCTCTTGAGTGCAGAAGGCAAATTTGAAAATGAGGATAAACAAATCTCTCGGTACGAGATAGAGCGCAAAGTTTGAAGCCAAGTTTTGTCAAAAGTAGACCTTCTTATTATCACAATGCTTGGGAAGTGACGAAGGCTTTCGAGCGTAGGATTTAGAGCCTTTATACTAACGATTTTACTATTTTTACTCCACAAACACTGACACACACACACTCATACACACACAGATACACACAGGCTGGGGAAATATTTTTCAAGAGTTTCACACGAAACCTCTCATCTCCTACTGACAGAAAAGAATAGAATGGATGTGATACTCTTGGAGGATATGAGTTGGGGGGATCGTAGCTGGAACGGCAAAGTAAAACTTAACAGTGTGAGTGGGGTAATGTCAATCGCTTCCTCGCCGCCATATATGAAAGCATGAGAAGGCAGCTTTATCAGCCTTTGGATTAGAACCGATGGGAGCTGAAGAACGCTGCAAAAAGATAAACAAATTGAATGGTTATCCCCAGAAAATCGCGTTACTTGTCGGAGCTGAATAGCTGAGATTTTCCAGGGATAGTGTACGTATGGTATGTTCGGCGTTCCAAAAAGAGAAGGTTACCTATCTACCCTATAACCCTAGGTTTATAAGTATGGCTAAGCGCTGATAAGAGTGCTGAGAGGAGCGGAGCAGTGACAAGTGGTTCAAAAATAGACGGAATCCCTCCGACTCAGGAGCACAATCATGTTCCGATACCCGCCGACACCAGTCAAAACCTTCATTCTTCCGGAATCACTCAACTAGAACTCATATGGAACGACAAAGGCACTGACTTTCATAAGGCTCATCCTTGCGAGCCATTGAGGCGATCAAATGCGTATTAAACACAGTTGAGATTTTAGATAGAGCCTAATACATGGGTATATCACCAAAATGGAATGAACAAATGCCAATTATTCTGAAATTTATATCTACTGGTTTTATGCCTGATATATTAGGTTGGCAAATAAGTCCTGCTACAAAATGGAGACCTTTTTTGAATCATTCCTAAATTTTTTCATATCAATCAATTTTCGAAAAAATATTTACCGGAGAAGTCAACAACCTTCCTTTATCCTTTGAGCCAATCAATGATGCCATGTCTTCAGGAGTGAGGGAGCTGTGACTCAAAAAAGTAATTGACTGAAGTTTTTAGATCACATTGAACTACGAATTTCTTTTCCACAACGGGATGCTCAAAAAGGCGAAGCATATGGTAGTTAAGAGAGGAACACTGAGACAGTACGACTAATGAGTAACCCGGAACCAAGCGGGATCGGTGAACTTTTGACGTGGGTCTAAAGCAAATTCTCGACGTGCGTTGTCCCTCTGTAGGGACCTTATTTACGGTTTGATGGTCCTTATCTAACGCCGTTGGCTAAATAAAAGGAATCATAGGAGCAAGTGATAGCTGTGTCCATTTAGTCTGCGTTTAGCAACTCATAGTGGATGGATCCCTTCAACCTCCATTAAATCAAGGGACGAGTCTTGCGTTACCCCGAAGGCTGTCCCCCTGCAGCGAAGCGATCAAACGATTGTTGACCGTCGATCAGTGAGCAGTGCTAGCATCGAATAGATTGCTGATATTTCGAGCCGCTACACCTGCCTTTTCTCCTTGACGTGCTTATGGTTAATAGAAGGTTTGGTACGAATTGGGTGTTGTCCACTCATTGACCGTAATGCTGCGAAAGCCCACGCGCGTGCCCTTGCTTATGTGTTGATTGCCCGAGGAACATCCTACAGGTTTATCACCCTGCCACCGTGTTCACACTGTTGATACAAATTTTCAACACTTTAAATTTTTTGTCGTAGGACTTATTTGCCAACATAATATTTTTTTGCACTAGCTATAGAGACCCTCAACGATGAGCACTGATGCTTGTCCACCTTTTCACTAATTCTTTATACATTCTCGAGGGGTAATTTTTCTCAACTGTTTATTTTAGCTCAATATCCGGGCTCGAGTTGCCAGTGCGGCTGCCCTCCTGGAACCGCTCAATGTCAACCATGCCTTACATCTATGTGTAAGCAAAATTTTATTCATAAAAAATGTGGTCAATGTGATCGTTTCTATTAGGCTTACCGCCTCTGAATCCCAGCTATTCGGTTGGATCAATGCTCCCGTTCTCGCACCCCCTTCCCCAATCACCTGTTTACGTTCAACCTAGGGGAATGCCTGGAGAGATTCCCATCGGTGCACCACCACCTATACTATGGTAAGTAAGCTAGTAATCGAAAGGCTACGCCTGAATTGGTGCTCAATATTGCAGGAATCCGCCTCGTCTACCGCCTCTCGACATGACTGGTATGCTGAATCTGGTTCGTGAATTTTTGTTTGAATTGTCACTCTTGTTGAAGACCAGTTTGCTGTCCCTTCAGTATGGGGAGTTCTAGAACAATATTGTTTTCATAGGTCTCGGGGATAAAACGCCCTCAAAGCAACACCCTGGACATCATACATCTTCCTTTTCGGCAGTGCACCAAAGAGTCAAACCCCATCCACAACTTGGTGGTTCCCGTATGAGCAATGACCGACACTATGAACTCCAGGGTCAACCGATGAATATCTTCGTTTCTTGCATAAAATGACTTCAACAGCTGACGATGATGAACGAATGGGGCTCAACGGCACAGTTCACAATAGTTTGGGGCACCTAGTTTAATTCGAATATTGAAAGTGGTAGTGAAGATTAGTGGCTGCAGTAGGCTGTGCAACTTATGCGTCAGATGCCAATGTTGCAGCTTCTACAGCTTCTGCAACGCCGTGCAATCTCGTCCGCCTTTAGGTGTGCACGCCGGCTAAGTCAGTTTCGGTGCCCTTAATGCGTCCTATCTAGACCGTTTTTTATCCTAAAGCGATCTTGTGCTATCCTTTGAGATCACAGTTTTATACCAGGGAGATATCTCAGAAACCATATATTTCGTGAACTGTGACTTTCATTGGCATGACCGATAACTGGTGCTAGGAATCACGCACAAGCTATAATCACATTGGAAATGTCTCTGGAGTGGATTCTACACACGCATTGTTAGGAGCGACAAAGGCTTAGCCAGGATATTAAAAAAGGAGAACTACGAAGGCCAGTGCTGTACACCATTCGATTCGATAGAACCGGCACACAGTGCGTTTCATAATTATAATTAGGTCACCCTCAAATTTCGCACTTTCAGAAAAAGCAATCATTAAGGATTTTTTCTAGCATCATGAACGGATTGCCCAGCACGAATAACCTAGGTTTCCGTTTTCTAGCCGCAGCTGCATTTTTCTGAACTTTCTTAGAACAGTTTATCGGTTCTTGCACCGCTTCATAATTATAAGGTCACCCTGAAAAGTGAACAATTATTCATGGAAGAGAGGAAATTTCGTGTTCAAAGATACTTATAAAGGTAAGCATGCGTAGCAAATGCATTTCTAAACCTGACTGTCAAAATGGCTTGTGGCCGTCTGCTTTCCTTTGATGAGAAGGTTCATCATGAAGCTGAGCTCAGTACTCGAGCCATCTTCAGTCAAATAGATCCCCTCGTCCATTCAAAGATCCCTGGAGAGCCCTGATGTCCCTAGATATAACACCGACTGTGGACACCCTTGAAAGGTTACTGACCGTGACGAGCGAAAGATTCTGAAGACTGTTTCCAACAGCACGTCCTCCTTGAACCAGATCCGATCGGAATTAATCCTCTCTGTGTCGAAAACTACAGTCTGGAGAGCAGTGAGAAGATGCGAGAACATCACCAGGCAAACAATGGAGGAGGTGCCATGAATCACCGATCGCCACAGAGAGGCTCGTCTCGGATTTGTAAAGATGAACCTTGGGAGAGATTGGGCAAAGGTAGATCTGCATCAAATTCTCACCATAGAGCTGAATAATTCCTATTCAGGTCGTCTTTTCGGACGAAAAGATATTCAATCTGGTCAGTCCTGACGGAAACAAGCGTCGCAATTTCGGTGGAGGAAATCTATGCTGGGGGGTGCATCCTGCAATGATGTTGTGTTGGACTTACCTTTCGTGAGCTGCAACATGGATTCCAATGATTACCAGAACGTGTTGGAACATCATCTAGTACCATCTCTACGCCATCGCCGTCACCTCCACTATGTCTTTCAACAAGACAATGCCTTCATTCATGTGAGCCGTGCAACGGATGGGTGGCTGCAATGCCAATAAATAAGCGTCCTGCCATGACCAGCCTGCAGTCCCGATCTCAATCCGATGGAACATATCTGAGGCATAATAGTCAGACAGGTTTATGCTAATAACCGTCAGTTCCAGGGCACAGAAGAGCTGAAGCGGGCAGTTATCGAAGCATGGAGAGCAATCGGTGAGGAAAATCTTCGAAATCTAGTTTCTAATATGCCACGCAGGCTCTTTGATGTTGCTCTTAAACAAGGAGGAGCTATAGAATATTAAGTGTTGTGCATATGCCACCGACGTTAATAAATCATTTACTTTCTCAGGGTGACCTTATAATTATGAGACGGTGCTGAAGCCGACACTATCTTTAAAAAATTCATAAAAAATTTGAGGTGAAGGATATTGCGACCAAAATTCGAGTTAGGAGTTGCATTGTAATGAGGAATCTTCCAGTGTTTGCCAAAAAATTTCATGCCGGCTGCTTTCTCCAGAATCGCAAAAATCGCAAAAATCTTATAATTATGAAACGCACTGTATCCGAAGTCATGAAGCTCCAAGGGGCAAATAACTTTGACTGCAGATGAACTTCAAATCACTGCGCTCTGCAAATCTAGTGCAGGGCCAAGGCGTAGACTTTAGAAACCACCTTGAGCACAACGGTACATGATGCAAGAGCGGCTAACATTGTTCACATACCTCATGCTACAACACGTGTGCCCTATCCCAATGGAAGGTGCCTGAATTCTGATAACTAGTTTAAATAAAAGCTACAGGTGGACTTGAAGCTAAGCAGCGAAGTAAAAAAACTGTGTAAAGATTGAATTTCAGCGTCCTCCCGCACAGCTCTACCCCGAGGAAAATACGCCCGATGTTCACAGAAACGCACTGCACTACGTTCACGTATCCGAAACTACTCCTCCAATCACCAATGCTCCTCCCCTTACGGTTCTTCCAACAGATACAGCGCTGAACTCTTTTGAGCGCAGCGAATCCACCACTAAAATAATGGACATCTCCATCGAATCACATCCAAAAGTGGAAGAGCAAGCGCAGCTGGGGTTAACCTTCGCTCCTTCACAAGATGAATTCAAAAATGAAAGGTAGGTCCCCCAACTAATGTTTTCAGGTTATATCATTAGTGTGCAAAGCTTTTTAGCCCAGCTGCAGCCACATTTGATGTAGCAGAATCGCCATTGGACAACTTCTTTTATCCGGAAGACGTTGCAGATATCACCCAAGTGAGTTCCATCAGATTGGAAACCCAGTATGAACTGAATACTAATTAAAGGGTATTGCTTCATTGGAATCAATCTGGACGATGCACGAACATGTAACGGGTCACATCTCCCTAACATGCTTCACTTCAACACTAAAGCTTTTTGTCCAATACGAATTAATGTCCAACATGAATTCTTCCCACGAAGCGCTCCACCCNCCCCCCCCCCCCCCCCCCCCCCCCCCCAATAAACAGACAGACAGACAGATTATCGGGTAAGACAGTTGTCATCCAACACATCTGGTATCCCCACCTACGTTGCAGATTGCGTCCGAAGCAAAACACAATATTTTTCGTGAGGGAGAACAAATGAAAAGGGGAACCTTCGATCGGTGAACGTGTGCGTCGTTTTGCCGCTTGCAGAGCATCTAGCGCCTACTTTTCCATCCATCTTCAGGCCCCTTGAACACTGTTGGCTTATGACGCCATGTACAGGTGTCGGGTTAGGAGAGAATTAGAAAGGGGAAAACTGAATTAGGAAAGTGTGACTACACTGCCATCAGTGGCAATGTCAAATGGCGCTTTCTTTCGATAACACCGTAGGCAGGATCCGTTACAATGGGGGCATTACAATTTAAGTATGCCTTCACGTTCATCGGTATCATCTGAACAGAAAGTATTACTACCTCTAGTCTGTAGTTTATAAAGGTCAGGCTGGTCAAGTATCAGATACTGGCCAGGAGCGCCTACCGAGTTCAAGAACGGAAAATGATCCCGAGCTTCAGTTTTTTGAAAAATTTTCAAAACGATTCTTATTGAAGACTACAACCATAAGTTCAACTTCCATCGATTATGAAGAAGTGTACGCACAGAAACGCATCGCCGAAAAGCAGAGCACCACTGAAGTCACTCAAGCGATCACGGGTAAGAGTTGCTATACCCTTGTTAGCTCCACATTCTTTACACTATTACCATCCCATTACAGATGAGATACCACCTGCTGATGATAAATTGCGGCCTCCCATTTATGTCGAGGCATCGCACTTCGAGGTATTTTTTTGTACGTGATGAATGACAAAATAAATGACAACTCAGAAGTATCTTCTACCCATCACTCGATAAAGCCTAGACCTTGGATTTTTCTTTAGCTTGGGTATGGTGACGATCTTTCCGGCAGGACCTGGATCCTTGATAAGTAACTGTTAACTGAGAATTACTCACTGAGTATTTTTCCTTGTTTACGAGATTGCACCATTCGCAAAGCGAAGCACAACACGCGAATGAGGGCCAGCAATTATCATCATGGGACATAGAATCGAACTGCTTCCATATCATCATAGGACATAAGAATCGAACTGCTTCCATTTAAGTGAGGTTTTCGCTCAGAACTGTACTGGAATGAGCAACATGGTTGTCAGAGCTCGTAAACGCCTGTGTCTTCGCAAATATCGCTGATACGAAGAATGCCCATACAATGCCCTTCTCATTCTTCCTGGTTTGGGAGTCCTTTGAACACTATTTTCGAGTGGATTTCAGGTGCACCAACCACGGGATCAGTCAGACCACCCCAGGCGCTCACTCAGCGCTCAGTCAAAACAATGTTCTGCAGTCTGTTTATAGGCTGTTCAGTTTGGTGAGCGCTTGGGATGGGATGAGAGCATTAACAAGATAGGAACTGAAAAGAAATGTGATGTTTCTCAATAATCGAACGTGCCAATTTGAAGGGTTTTTAATTAACTTTCAAAAGCTTATAATTATACAAAGCATACATCTCTTCTTAGTAATTTTCTTTTCGCCAATCGTACTATCACCTCGAGAAGATTCCTACGGGTTTTCGTTTTTAGACATTCGAGCCGGCTATTGAGACAGTGACGGTGGATGTCTCTATCAACTACACCAATACCAATAGTGAATCCGAAAACGAGGTTGGAAGTGAGCTTGGAAGGAAAAGAATTTTCTGCTTTGGATGACCATTTATGCTGTTTTCAGAAAGACAATTTCGATACCTCGACGACGGAGACAGCATATGTAGAAAACTATTCCCTGCGGCAACGAGAGGACCCCCAGCGGAGTAGGTCAAGTAGATACGTAGTTTTCTTCTGATATTACCTTACTATTCCTAGAAATGAAAGACGTAGCTGTGACACAACCTGCAGACCCTTTCTGGACATTTCCACAAGAAGATTTACATGCAGTCAAACCGGCAAAGGCTTTCAGAGGTATGAATTTCGAATTTTAATTACAAACATCCGAATTTGAACGGCACTGAAAAGACCAAACCTGGCATTGTAACTCAATCTTTGTCAGGCCAAGAGCCAAGGAATGACACCCTACTTCCCAAGCCAAACTGTGGCTTGATGGAAAATGTGGTCTTACGGATATGCTTGTCTATAAGAACCATCAAAAGCCTTCGTTGTAAAACTCAGTAACAAATGAGTATTTCAGCCCGTGGTCCCATCTGGTTACACTCCTTTCAATTCTTTGCAATCTTTTTCGTGATTTACCTTTTGCACTTTCCTTTTGCAATTTTTCCTCTACATACAGCTTGTTAGTTCACGACTCTACGGTGACCTCAAAAGGAGCCATCTCCATTTTATTGTGCCGCACTGAGTCATTCTCCGCTTCATTTAAGCTTCTGTTCTTGCTCACAAAAATACGGAGGTGGCTTGATGGCAGCAGCGATACCTAGTTCTAAGACCTAGCCCCTTCGCATTTTGTCATGAGGATTGGAATTTCGGTCCCGTACGTGATTTATTTATGTTCCGCTGCAGTGTTCCATTGCTACCCGTTTACGGATTTTCCTAATTTTTTTAACCTATTGTGTATGCACATCCATGCGCGCAATTGATCGGTGCGTACCAGGTTCATACTTTAGCGACAAGTACATGTTCAGTTATCGTTGCCGTGGCCGTGACAGTGGCATCCATGATGTACATATCTGATGTCGAACTGCCGTCGGAAGATGAAATAAGCGTCTTCGACCGCGAGTCGATGCCCCGCTTTTAAAGCTGCTGTTGGTTAGGAGCACTGGTGATCTCCATGCACCTGAAAATCTTCGTTCTGCGTCCACTTCATTCGGGAATTGACCACCACATCCTATGTTCTTCGAGCATCTTCCAAGCTTTATTAGCGGATGCTCATTTGAAATGTGGACCGATTAAACTGACCGCTTTCATGATTTCCATGTTGGAATTCTCTGCTCGGCACCACCCACCCACTTTGCTATGTTAAGTGAGTCATCGGACCATTCAATGATTCCTTGTTTTTAATAGCGATAGGATCCTTCAGACAAACACGCTCAGTGTTCCACTCGATCGCACCCAAAAATATCCAGTAGCGCTCAAAAGTATTCGGCCGAATGCTTCTTCGGTCGTACTTTTCAGTCGTAACTCCTTTCCTACTAGATCTAATCATGCGAAATTTCAGAAAGTGTGGGTGTAGTGTGAATATTTACCACTAGCAACCTGCAATCTGATCATGTTCCAGGTATCCCAACGGGCTTGAACAAAAATTCAACTGGAAATAGGGACATTGGTCCTTCTAGGAATTCTTTCCTTCTTGCCATGCCTTATAAGTGTACGAGCACTAATGCCGAACCCAGAAGAGAAGAAAAACGTACATAAGGTCCGAATAACTGCAGGCATCACGAACTTGCTTTCAGCACAGCCTACAAACGCCTGCCCATCAGTATGTGGATATGGTGTTTTGCAGTCAAGTAGTGGAATAGCCGGAAAGGCTTGGCTGAATACTTTTGAGCGCTACTGTAGGGGAATCTCAGGCGCGTGGCCTTATACCCCTCGATTGACATGTGTAACACTTTATTCTGATTTCTGGGCGTCTAACTGTTATTCCTTGATATTCCTTGTTTTGTTTATGGTGTTATGAGGTTGTTAGGAATTTGTAGGAGTTTTTTCTATGTCCTTAAGTTCTTCACTCTTATAGGCACCTTCAGCAGTCGAGTGCCCTCTTGGTAGGGCAGAGTTGCTCCACTTCGTTTTCGGGATCACGTCAGGACGTGGACGTCCGTTCCGCGCGTCCGTCAAAATTAGGTCACCCCGCCCACTTTGCACTCGGCGCAACCTTCTGCGACCAATTAAGACGTTACAGTACCACTAAGTGTCAGCTTAGCGAATGATTTGCCCTAGTCCGTATTATCTTCACTTTAGGCTGATTGCCGTGGACCGAGCGTATTTTGTCCGCCCCGCTAATAACTGCAATGTTCGTCAAAGATCGCGGGCTGACACGGCGCGTGCGACGGTTGCGGCGTGAGCTGGTTTCGACGTACGCGCGGAACGAAGGGCACCCATAACAGAACATGTCAAAACAGAGTCGCGCGTGTGAGACGCGCCGCATGATCCCTTACATTTATGGATGCGATCGTTCAGCCTAGACCAACCAAGCCTTCCATCCCTTCGGGGCCGGTAAATTGGTACCAGACTCGTTTGGGAGGGTAAAGCACTGACTTGTACATCGGCTGGTTACCGCAAATCATTGTATAGGCCCCATACGCACTCATTACGCCACTACGATTCTGAATGGAAGTCGAGTGCGGGGGCGCATCCCTCAAACGGGATTGATTAACTCTACGAGCTTTATCTTTTTTATCCTATTACCCTACTTGATTACGGTATTTGATGTCGCTCTTCAACTATCTCATACAGTTAGAATTTGAATGTGACACTGTCCTACTCTCTCGATTACGTTTTCCACAAAGTTCGTTTTTTCTACTCTAACATAGCACAACAACCTGTATTACAGGTCTGAACAGTATGATTGTAGAAAAGCACCGAGAAAGCGGAGTGGTCGGGAAACAAGTGAGTAATTTAGATCTTGAGGGAACGTGGATGGGATACTTCCGTGGAAGAACCAAAATCCACCCGCTTATTGTTATTTGTATTTGCCAGTTCTGGATGATTATTTAGTATTTTCTGTTCTTCAGAGCTTAAGGGAAGCTACCGGGAAGAGACAAAGTGTTTTCGTCGATGTTTTTAGAAGAGAGAAGTTCAAGGTAAGCAAGGTCGACATAATGAAAGTGAGCGGTAGGCCCTTTACAATCTTTATTACGCCCATCCGATCAGGGCTCCCTTCAAAGAGCTCGACCTGAACCTATACAACCATACAAATTGATGACTTCGAATTGATGACTTAAAGTAGTGAGCTGGGGAGTAAGTTGGTGAAGTCCTACCTGAGGAAGATTATTGCAAATGTATGATGTATTTGTCGTGACTTTTTGCGACCTTTTACACCTTTCGACTGTTTTCTCGATGCTTGCTGTTCCGCTAAAACACGTCCGTCCAATCTGCTATCAAAGAAGTTGCTGAGCCGGACTTGAAGAAACTCTTCATTGCCGGATTTAGCGCCATTCGTAGCTGATCCGTCGCAAGAGGTCCTGAGAATATGGCGTATATTGGAGGGCCTCGCATTTGGGCTCTTGGAGTGCGGCGATGACGGCCCCATACAGTATGGGGCCTGGTGTTGTCGTGAAAAACTATGGTTTGACCTTGTTGACGAGACCTTCTTGGTCGCATAGCCCGTCATAGCTAGGCTGTGTAGATCCCCTTGGTAACCGTGACCCCCACTTCAAGCTGTCCTAGTATATCATCACCTTTGTGACTCTCTTCCGTTGCTGAGCGAGTCGTTGACGTCAGAATCGCAGTTTTTGCATTTAGCAAACCATTTCATTCTGTAGGCTCGCCTACGACACCTCTGAATACGTTCCTAGTATAGCTGTCCTAGTATATCATTCCTGTTGTTGAAGCCGCGTTAACGGCTTTCAACAACAGGAATGATATACTAGGACAGCTATATTAGGACATTTGCTCAATGTTGGCAGAGCCCAAAATTTGACATTTTAGCATTCATTCGGCAGAAAGCGAGACAGGGAAGGGCAGAAACCGAAATGCAACAGTGCTGCTCTTTGGAACATCATGGAGCAGGTTTGTTGGAGCATTTTTTTAGCCTATTTTCTCGAGCGTCGATAATTTCAGAAGATGTCTACATCCGCCTCTGCTTCCAAACAAGTGCTCTATTCCGCAGTGTTGGCAAGGTTCCCAGGCAGGATTGCCAGTGTCATTTGCTCACGTTATTCGTTCTCATACATTGTCGTCACGTCTCCAATCTACTGCGAACATCGAAAGACACCTCTCACATGCTTTGCGTTCATTCAACCTTAGCTCTGTCACGATCAGAAGCCCTTGGTTGAGGGCATAACTGGCTGGTTAGGTGAACGATGCGCAAAAATGTGGGGTAATGGGATGGTGATATGAAATACTATGTATAGGCCCTTGCGTTTCCCTAACCACAGCTCTCTAAACAACGTGTAATTCTCGCTCAAGCATTTCCCAGCAACATTGTACAGTGCTCCTGCGGAACAGATCTTCATGGGAGCTGGAACATCATGCTATCTACCAGAAATACAACATTGTCCTAAGTTTATGTTAACAATATGCGTGATTTTGCGACTTCCATTCATTGAGCCCGCAGCTTCCCTAGAGTGTTCAGAGCAATTCTAATCATCAAAGAACTCTTTCCGGAATCTCTCCTCCGAAAACTTCTCTTCTGCTCTACCCAATCTGCCCATGTTACCCGCGTCTCACACTTCATTCCGTTAATTATTATATGGCGCATACTTATATTTATTAAGGCACTTGTAATGCAATTACAGTACTGTTTCCCAAAACATTGAATAAAATGTTTTGCATACGATATGACTAGAACAAAACAATAATTCATAAACATGATGATCTATGGCGGAATGTGAGCAGGTATTCATAACAGAGCAATCCAAACCAGTCCCAATGCTCAGACGGTGGAGACCAACGATGCCTCAGAACGAAGCGTGCCGGCACGACTCGGCGGTGAATCAGAACTCGACCAACTCAGACTGTTGTTTAACTTCGTGTACTCGACCGGGCTCGGTTCTAATGAGAACTGAAAAAAACGGATAAAGAGACTACTTTACAGGCACAGTTCACGATAATGTTGGGTTATCTAACTCAAGGAGAGTAATGGAGAAGACTGTCCGGAATAATGCGAAAGAAAATGCGAAAATCGACGTATATAAAGAAACGAGAATGATACGAAAAAAGCTGCATGGAAGGGTCATTCGGAAGACCTGTTCGAATGCCCGCGCCATTGCATACAGCTAGCTGCAATACGCTGCCTACATGCAAGGTGAGATCCGGTACAAGTGATGAAACCTCTACAGCCTTCCCAATCCTCAAAAATTCGAAAGCCCTGGGTAGGTACGTCAGTCGAGTCAGTTTTGAGAGCTCTTATTACGTCATATCTTGACTGTTTTTCGACCTGACAGCGTCCCTTTAGCTATCCTTGGGGGATGCGCGTTCATCCTAGAGTGCAATCTCAGAAACCATTTTCAACCGAAGCTGGGTCTTCGAAAAAGACTGGAAGTAACTGGTGGTAGAAATCCACAGGTGCTACCAGTGATTTGAACGCACAGTTCACGGTAATACAGAGGTATCTATTTCAAGAAATAATAAAATCATGGTGTCGAATTGTGCAAGGATGGCGAAGATAGCTCGAAAATCGGCAGATTGTAGAAAATATAAGGCTTCAAAGAAGTAGCAAAAAGTTATGTTGTAGGAGATCGCGTACTATTGGTCGCTCTCTAATGCTTCATTGTGAGTAGTGCACTTGGGATTCGATATCTTCTACCCGAACACTGCGTCGCGTTTGCCACACCCGCCGCGTACCACAGAAATGCTATGGAAGATTGGGGCGCGCAATCTCTGAGTTGAGGAGTTCTTTAACTATTTACATTTGCATTCTCCAGTCCCAATAATCGTCGATAAAAGTGAAGGAGTCACTCCGGGCAATCGAGTCTAATAAATATAAAAACAAAAGGAAATAGAAAAAACAATCAAAACCAATTATAGAAAATAATGAAGTCAGCGAGAAATATGGTGTCCTATCGGTTGTCCACAAGGCGGGCCGAGTACGGTAGTAGTTTGAGCCGCACGGCACCAAAAAGGGTTTTCCGCATGCCGCGAAGCGAACTTGAGAAGTCGGGGAAACGTTCCGCCATCCGTGCCCTAATAACAAGGGCGGCATAACACGTAGCAAATGAAATTTCTTGCTCTCCCCCTTATACTTCCCCTTATACCTGTGATAACGATGATCGCGTTATAATGCTACTGAGTCACAAGTCGCAGTGCGGTCTATACGGCAATAGATCGCTGGTTATGGAGGTTCACTCATCCATAGATTAGATCTTCTCATCTGTAGTTCCATTTTTGAGCAAAAATCGAAAACTTCTCCGTCCATAAAAAGCGGACTTGATGCAGCTGCTGATTCAGTACATATGCATTGATTGCGGCATCCTTGTTGGCTTAGTTCTCTTGCTCTGCGCATCTCATCACTGTTTTTCCAGCGGAGGCAACTGGCTAGGCCTATCATCTGCATTATATTGTAAACTTCCGTCTTCAACATACACTGGTAAAACTTAAGGACGAAAACAAATTTCGATTACTGTACCGCTGCCAGACGACAGAGCTCGATGAAATTTTTAACATACCAAGAGAGGACCATTACGGTGTTGAAGCAACTGAGAGAAAATCGAAATAAGACGAGCAGATAAGACGTTTTTGTTCAAAGGATCACCACGACAGCAATGAATGCTCTGCAACGCGATCCCACACTTTCCACGAGGTTGGTGACGGGTTCCTGTGGTAAGGCATTCCACTCCTCTACCAGCGCAATTGACAATTGCTGGATGGTCACTGGTGCATTTGGACATTCTGCAATGCGTCTACCCAGTGCATCCCACACGTGCACCATGGAATCTAGGTCGGGCGAACGGGCAGGCCACTCCATTCGCCGAATATGCTCTTGTGCCAAGAGCTCCCCCACATGTGCTGTGCGATACGGTCGCGCACTGTCATCCATAAAAATGAATCCACTGCCCACTGCAGCCTTGAAAGGACGCACATGGGGAGGGAGTACCTCGTCGCAGTAACTCTGACTGGTAAGGGATTTACCTTCAAGAATCTGGAGATCAGTACGGCCATGCAGCACGATGCCTACCCATGCCAATACGCTCATTTCTTATCGGTCCATTCGCTGTGCCCCTGGCACCACCCTAAACGGTCTCGCCTATGCGCGAGGGTCAAAGGAACACAGGGTAGTGGTCGTCTGACGAATAGACCGCCACCGTGCACTCGTCGTGCCACTGTAATGGGCGAGATGGCTTTCCTTGAAGTCCTGCCAAATGACATTGCAATAACAGAAGCTGATTAACGTGGATCTCTTCTTGCCTGCTGCACAATGTAGCGGTCATGCCTTAGTGTAGTTGATATTGATCGACCACCTCCTCTCCTTCGTGCAGCAGTACCAGAGGTTCGGAATGCTCTCCGTGCACGTGGAACAACGATGCGAGCGATAATAGGCTACTGAGCTACACTCTGCATGGTTCGACCTTTTTCGTGTTTTCCGATGACCCTTCCGCGTGCCAGGTCATGCCAGACGATGTCTGCGGCACATGATGTACAGAAGGATACCGCCACAGTATTTGATAGCCACTGGCTGACTGACAAAAAAATTTCCGTACCTATCAACTTCCTCGATATAAGTGGACAGCCATATTTCTCGCTTTATTTGAACTATTCCTCCTCGAAGAAAGTCCAGCTTCCTATGCATAACCGTCATAGGTCTGGCTCTATAGCCCCACACTATCATTTATTTCCACCCAGTCCTCAATGTTTCATGTTACATTATCCATCTCGTCCCTAAGTTTTTCACACCAGTGTATGTGCCTTCATGAGCAGTGAGCAGGGCTTAGGTTTCCTGTTAAGTTTTAGGGGCACAATTCAATTAGGCGCGCGTCCATGGCCTCCTGGAGTTTTTCGATGACTTGGAGCATTCGCATACTCTTGAGTGCATACCTCAGCGCGGCAAGTCCGTGAATTGCACAAAGACGCAATACATAGGCATCATCCACTTTCTTATCTTCCCAACAGTAAAGGTATAATTGTGGTTTGCCGTCTATGTTTCCACTGCATTACTCAGAGTTCTTGAGTCAAAAGTTTGTGTTGACTAACTTTGACCATCGAAATGAGAGCTCTATCGAAGGGACTCACGCAGAGTTTTTCTATATAAAAGAATTTGCCAACTAATATAACGAGAGTATTTATCAGATGCACCTCTATCGAGATAGGCGCACTACTTTCACACTCACTAAACCTTCCATATATTGGAATGAAGCCCGATAACTAATCTGTTCGTTAGCTGCTGCAATAATCTGCTGCTCCATCCTTTTCAGTCCCTTTTTCTTGCTCTTTTACTTTCCATTCTTCTCTTGTACAGCGAGCGCGCGCGACAGCTAAAACACACAGCTCCTTCAGCCATATGGGAAGAATCGACGCGAAAGCAGGCATGAGAATAACTTAATGACTTCTATGATCTTGATTTCCTACGTTTATAACCGAGGGCGATGTAGCGCACCTTTGATCATCGTAGTATCCGCGCCCATAAATCTTATCCACTGAGGGTTCATGCCACTGATCCATCTCTGGCCGGTTGCTGGCGAAAATGCGCACAGCGAGCCCAGGTGGCGGCCAGGGGCACACATCGAAAGTCGCCGCTACTCACCCAGAAACGGAAGTGGACTCAATTTATGACTCCTTCTTTCGGCTATAGTGTGTCGGTTTGTAGCTTCTGCTTTCTTGCACATGTATCCATTGTGGAGAGACCGTAGGTGCGGTTAGTATCGGCCCAACCAAAATCTTGCCTTCTATTGACCGGTGGTTTACCCCGAAACGAGTCCTTCCTTGCTTTTTTGGTATAGCCTAGCTAGCTACCCGGAGCCTCATCAGCCTACACATCAGAGCCTGGCAAGCGACTCATTGTAGATGTGTGTCAAAAAAGTGGTATGAATGAGCTTCATTCTCTCAAGCAGAGGAAGTTTACAATACGACAGTGTTGGGTAAGACCCCCTCAGGAGAGTCTGCTAAAGTTTCAGGGCCATAATCAGATGCATAAAAAGAAAAGGACTGAGATGGCCATTTGTATTTTCGGAGTGTCAAAGACCTGCATGAAAGCCAGCAGGATCAAGCACGACTTCATCGGCTCGACCAAGACGAGAAGGTATTACTCGCTGCACGTTCAAGACTGAAGAAGGCGTATTACTTGGAACATAGGACAGTAGAAGTGTCGCCGATGAGGAGTCCTAGACAACACGCTGTTGGTCATCGGGACCTGCGCGTCAGCTAGAGTAGACGTGCGCTTGGCCTGAAACCTCATCAACATCAACAAACAGCAGTGAGTGTGTCTTCGTGTCATCGTTGAATCCAGCTGGCGCTGCCTCGCCGTCCTACCGTCGAACTTGCTCGAGGACGAAAATGTGGTGCAGTACGACCAACTGCGAAGTGATGGACTCGGGCATGGAAATCCGGAGGCGCTATGCGGTCCCGAGTCCTTCACCGGTACCGAAGTAATTCAATGCTTCCCTTCTATGTATACTATGTTTGTTTTTCGTTTTTCTTTTCGATGTTTAATGGCGAGCTCATGAGGAATTATTTGGATATTCTGTCGAAGGCGTAATCTCGTAGACGGTACAACGCCGTGGAATGTTACACATGGGTTGATTGAGGTAGTTGGGCTGTGCATAGGTTGAACCGTGTGTAGGATGTCGCTCGCGTGAGGCGATAGTTGGGTGTAGGACCACTATAGGGGCTACAAGGATCAAAGCAACAGCCCGCATGGCAAGGGCGAGAGCGAGCGCATATGTCCTTGATCGGACCCTCACGTCAACGGTGACGCTACTCCTGAGCGCGGCGAACCCAGATGCCTATCTATAGAGCAAGACGTCGCCACCGGCGCGACAAAGGGAGATATGGACGATGTAGGGATCACATTTATATGAGTGACTCGTGCGCGTGTTTTAGGTGCGCTTTTAAACTTAGGCGCAGGAGGCAACTGCACTTTGAATTAGGGTTGCACAAACTCCAATCCAACTTTCTGAAGACGGTCTGTTTATTTCCCATTGAATGAGCTGTCATAGACATAGAAGTTAATGAAGATGAAGTGGAAAAGGATTTCTACGCTTCACGTTTATAGCGATGAAGGCTACAGCGGAGCGAGAACGGGGGCCGCCTTTGCGGTACTGTAATAATGTGGAGGAAAGATTCTGAGCCAGAGAAATGGAATCCTTTGCTCAAGGGTGTCAACATTGGGTGGAAAGCTGAGATGAAGGAGGAAATGGCCAGAATAGAATGTATTGCCTTGCTGAGGGAGCGCGGACGTGGAAACGTGTGACTCCTTATCTAAACTTTATTTCCACCAATCTCTCTCTCAAGTAGGTACGATTAGTTCATGGTGCAGCTATGTGATGGTTGGTTAATATTCAGGCGAGTTATGGAAGGTTGCAAAGCCAAAAATTCTGAAAACTTGCTTATAATTTATAAATGGAAAGTAAAATGGTTGAAGTCGCTAGTGATAGTGCGAGGTCTCATTTTTTGACCAATGTTTTGTTCCGAGAAGTCAATTTCTCAGTTCCCCTCGAAAACCCTTCAATGATTTCTTTCTCACTAATAGCTCAAGTTTCCAGCTTCACATACACTGCCCCTTAATCAAAGCACAGTCCACGATGAAAATGGTTTCTGGGAAAGCTCCCTCTGATGAATCTGTGGTGTTTCATTAATCCATATGTGGCGCTGCCATATCGGTGAACGGCCTAGACAGGGCGCCACAACGGCTCAAGGATATTATCAGTTAAATGTCACACCCTTAGCGGACGGGTGTCAACGGTGTTCTAGAGGCTGCATTATCTCAAGGGAAGCCCATACACTCAAACAACTTGTCATGGCTCATGGTGACAGTGGAAGGCAGTTTCAACAGTTTTAGCTTGATGTAATGAGCTCTTGGCAGCAACCGAAATATCGTCCAATACTCTCGTATGCCATTCCCGACACGGTGCGGACTCGCGTATCTCTCCCTCCATCTAAATATTGGGCTTATTGTAGATGAGCGGGGAGTATGTACATATTAGGTTGACAAAAAAGTATTGCAACAAAACGGAGTCCTTTTTTAATCACTTCTAAAAATTTCAGTATCAACCGATTTTCGGAATATATTTACCAAAGAAGTCAACAACCTTCTATTATCCTTCGAACCAATGTATGTTCAGAAGTGATGAAGCTGTGACTCAAATATTTAATTGACCGCTGTTTTCAGATCACATTAAGTTACGAATTCCTTTTCCACAACGAGAAGCTCAAGAAGGCGGAGCACATGGTAGTTAAAAGGGGCAACGCTCCGGGAGTACGATGGATGAGTAGCCTGAAACCTAGCGGTATCGGTGAGCTTTTGACGTGGGTCTAATGCGAATTTTCGACGTGCGTTATCCCTCTGTAGGGACATGATTTACGGTTTTGATCGTCCTTCTCTCACCCTGTTGGCCAAATCTCGGGGATCATAGGGGTAACCGTTAGCTGTGTCCATCTAGTCTGCATTTAGCAACCCATAATGGATGGATCCCTTCAACCCTCCATTAAATTAAGGGGCGATGCTTGCGCGACTTCGAAGGCTTGTATCTCCTCCAGTGAAGCGAACCAACCGATTGTTGACCGTTGATCGGTGTGCAGTGCCAGCATGGAATAGGTTGCTGATAATTTGAGCGGCTACACTCGCGTTTTTCCCTTGGCATGCTTAGTAGAAGGTGATGGTACGAATCGGGCGTTGTCCATTCATCAACCGTCATGCTACGAAAGTCCATACGCGTGCCCTTATTTACTCATGTGTTTATCGCCCGGGGATGTCCTACAAGTCCATCACCCTTGCTACCGTGTTCAAACTGCTGACACAAGTTTTCAGCGCTTCAATTTTTTTGTCACAGGACTTTTTTGCCTAATATAATCGGTCCGTATAAGTAAGATTTGATATCGCCAACTATCGACCAATCTGCCTGCTGTCCCTAGTCTACAAACTCTTCACACGAGTTATCCTTAGCCGGACTAAAGTACGCTAGATGAAAGACAGCTATGAGAGCAGGCTACTCGGGTGCTCAGTGCGGACGATGTCCGCACAGTATTCGCATTCAAGTCATAATGACCCCCAGCAAGGGTCTACTGTAGAGTATACATTCTTATATTAGAAACTCGAGAAAACATTCGTGAAAAAGGATTCAAGTTAGCATTGCTGAGCATTTAACCTCCTAAACAACACTAACCTTTTGTTCGATGAACTTGGTTGCATCACGCAAGGGAGCGCTCTTCAGTTTTGCACTTTTTCTTGAAGTCTTGAACGGTGAGCACTGAAAGTTCGTTATAGCCGGAGCTTTCACCTAGAAGCCAAAATGAGATCTGACCTTGGTGGCGTCAATGCAGCAGACTGCAACACAGACGAAAAGAGCTAGTATTGTGATGATGATGAAGCCTAGCAGTGCGATCGGATATTGACAATTGCAGCCCAAATGATGAGGTAATGTCGTCAAATCGACGGTATTTGCCGGCGACATCTTCTGGGTTGGCGATTTTGTCAGAAGGGCTCTCAAATGTTACTGGAAAGTCATAGGTTATTATAGGAAATGGAACCTATTCAAGTGTATAAGAGAATTTTGAAATGGATTTGAGTGGATCAGCTTTTGATTGTTCGAAATATAGATTGCTGAGGTTCAAGAAGAAGAATAACACGGTTAGCCTAACGATAGATTAGGGACATTCAAACAGGAGCTTGATGTTTCGGAAAATCGGACGAACACAGAAATGCAAGGAAGAGTCAAAAACAGGCAGCCCTGGATCGCTTTCACAAGAGGTCTCGCAGGTATCATCAAACTGTGTAAACAGTCACCCCCCTCGTCTTCGGATTTCAGTAGAACTCAGAGAACATTTTCTCTTAGTACTTGTTCTGACATATAAGGCTATAGTGGAAATGACGAGGTTACAGTACCACCTGTCCCATTCGAGTTGAAGTACAAATACTTTTTCTAAATATTGGGGTCCAACATGAGACCAATTTCAATCAAAGGCAGCTCTGGGGATTAGGGAATCATGACAAGGCCGTCTGTTCGGCCATGTTGAATATGCCTGACAGTTATTTATATGTTTATTTATTTATCTGTGCCCCCAGCCAAATAAACAGTGAACTTGATGAACTCAAACTCAACGGGTGAATGGGTTATCAACTAATTTCCATGACAAAAACATGGTCCCGGACGGAGAAAAAGCGAACGAGTGTCCGTCTGAAGCTTTTTCCGTCATCTTTAAATGTGATTATGTTGACAAGATTGAAATCTGTTTACAAGTGGGCGAATGGGTGCCTATACTGCCCTTAGACCTCCGAGGGAGAAAAGCAACTAGCTGGCTATATTTGCACAAAAAAATATGCTACAAAAATCGTTTGGGAAAAGATTTGGATTGAGGTCAAAAGCGATCGCGAGAGGCTGCGTGTAAGAGCCGGATAATGATACGAAGAGGCTTACGCAAACAGAAAAAAAACGATGTCGACCTCGTTCGTCGCTGACTCAAGCGGGGGGCGGTAGCGACAACCTTTATGACGCGAACCTCTCGTCTATTGTGATCGAGCAAGCTGTTGTGGCACAGGTTGTACATAACAGGTCACAAAAAGTCTGCTACAAAGTCTTCTTCGGCCCTGACCTGAAATCAGAGTTCATCGAGGTTTTTTTTTCACTAACAGCCCCCTTAATATAAAAAAGCACCGCAATCGAAAAGATCATCGGAAAGAGAATGATTCAATGGTGTAGGTGGTACGCTAGCAAGTGGCGCCTTATCACATGTGTAGCCCTTGGATCGAATCCCGATTTGATACCCCCATGTCAAGCGAACCTTCCCCCGGGGCGGTCATTTGGAATCATCTGATTGTGAGAGGATACAGGCACTGACTTGTGCAACGGCTGGCAACCGCAGTTTGTTGAACAGGCCACCTACGCACTCGAATAAAAACGTCACCGCGATTCTTAAGTAAGGTCGAATGTTGCTATGCATTCCAAAAGCAGGATTNATTGACGGCATAAAGGCTCTATGGATAGTCCTGAACAGAAGTAGCGGAATATAATGGATATGTCCCCTGCAACCAAACTGCCTGGGATCTAAAACTCACAACAGGTGCAATAATTTCTTCAATCGGATTTCGAAGTAGATGGTAAGTTTCCCACAGCTATAGTTAAAAGTTTAGATATTCTGTAAATTAGTTTTTCTTTGAGGATTACCAAAAACTTCCTTCAAATAAATATTGATAATAAAACATAAATTCGACAGGTTTTGAGGGGGAGGGAAGAGGAGGGGGGAGACATCTTTAACAAGGCCTCAAATAAGCCTCAAATAACTGTAATCATTGTTTCCATACACGATCACATCGCAGTCAGCAACCTCTTTGCGATATCATCAGCAACCTCTTTGCCGTATCAAGGAGTCGTAGGAAAAAGTGACTGGCCCAAACTCTCAAACAACCCATTACTGCTATAACTTGGTTGACCAAAGAAGAAAACAGAGGATACCGCTAAGAAACCCAAGATGAAGTTTTTTTAATGATTAAGCCGGTTCCGTGGGAAGTACGAGACAGAAGGAGCCGGGTAATAGGAAAGTTCATTCTTGTTGGTTCTGCATAAATCCACCGGCAGGACTATTGAATTCGCACGAAATGCTCGTCCACCTATGACAGTTCGGACCTAAATTTGTTCAAAGTTAGGTATAACATAGAACTCAGCAAATCGAGCTCTGTAGAATACTACAACAAAAATTTAGAAAAGCTCAGCTCCGTGACAATTTTGCTTTGATGCATACCCTTTGTTCTAAAGTATTGTTTCGCCGAAGTTTCAGAAGATAGCGATGGAATCAGTGAGCGACTCCGATCCAGTTGCAGCTCCGCAGAATTCTCGTCCAGCCCTTTTTCCGACGGTTTTTTTCGAAGCCTTCCAGCTGACGTGGTCCCACTATTGATTGGAGGGTGATTGTGAGGACACACGAAGCGACGGTGAGTGACCCTCCTTTAGGTTACGTGCGTGCCCTAGAAAGTCTCGAACTTCGTGCGGTTGTGAAGACCTTTGATCTAGGATCCACAATTTGTTTTGATCCAGGCTTTGGGGGAGGTGATACCGTCAGAACGTAGCTCATAAAATTTTAATATCAACCTCGTCGAGAGTTTAAAACAAATTGTATACATCAGAGAATAGAGGTGATAATTGGAGCTTCAGCCGCAGTTATGGTGATCGATAACTTGCGTATCGGATACCGGCCAATCGATACAGATACAAAAGCAAATTGTGTAATTGCCCTCTGTAACATAGTTTAGAAGAGATTCCGCATCTAAGGAGATAGAGGGGACAGAAACTAAGAAACTATTGGAAACGAATTGTTCGCTAGCTGATTTGACCAGCTATTTACTGGCAATTCATTTCTCTATTTCATGGTCGAAAGGACACCAAATGTCGGGCTGGATTTCTAGCCCTATCACACAAAAGAGAACTAGACCCAGTCCATCCGACTCGTTCACAACTTTTTACTGCATTCTTTTCTTCCTTAGACTAGATTTTCGTAGCAACCAAAGCAGCACACTTGATGCACACCAAGTAACTTTCCTGCTGAACGTTGAAAAAGAATAAAGGATAAAGTTTTTGGCAGGGGTTCGATCCCGGGATGTCGATCCGGGATCGAACCCCTGACAATGCGTGTGATATAGTGCGCCACTTTCCACTACACTACCTCCGCCCATGCTGAACATTATCACAATGAAAGGTGCAAGTACTAGAATGGTCCAACGAAATAGCTTTTTTTGAACTTTAGGTACCACTGCTACTACTACAACTCTCGGAGCTCTTCTGTCAACATAACATGGGCTATCTATGCTCCGATGGTCACGTACAAATTGGAAAGAGACGAAGTTGATGTCAAGTGCTTATTAGCTGTGGACGTGCTCACATGATGCTCGGTCAAACGACATTGCTACTACGCTCTTCTTTTTTTGTATTTACCGTACACGATCGCTTTGCTTGCTTGGGTTGCGTTGTTGCTTAATAGCCTGCATGTGTCATGTTCTATATCTAGTCCATACGATAAGCTGAATAAAATTTCATAGCTTCGGATCAGATTCTTGGGAGCAGTTTCTCAACTGAAAATATGTTTCCAGGAGGTTATTTTCTTTTTTTTAATGTGTCACAAATAATGATCTACAAATCTCATTATAGTGTGTGCAGTTTCAGTATGTGCAGTGCAGAACTTATCGTTTACGGTTTTGCAGATTTGTTGTGGAAATCTTAGTTGACCTAACTAAACCGTGATTGGACTGATTTGAAAACGATAGGTTGATGCATAATTATTGCGGATTTTTTCTCGACTTCTTTTCTCTCGAAACAATTTGAATATTGAATGTGGGATTGGATAGAAATAATCTTCTAGCTTCTCTTAACAAGAATATTTCTCGAAAGTCATGTTCATGTACGCGACATAATGCCCTATTAATTCGAGAAAGGTTGGAAGGTGGCATAGTCATAAAGTGACTCAAACTAGCTCAACGGACTGCTCGAACGGAACAGTCAGCCAAAGCCGAATAAAGAATGGGATCTGTTTCTATGGTTGCCCTATTCACTAACAGGAACCCCTACTGATCATCACAGCAAGTGAAAAGCTGACTAACGAACAGACTTTTTGGCGAAATAGATGGCTTGATGGCCAACGTCAAGGCGTGATCGCCTCCGAGAATCGAAACTTCTTCGCCTGTAGAATCGACTACCTAGCAAATGGGAAGCAGTGCTTGACGTACATGGTGGATATGTTCCGGAGCAATTTTGTGAACATGTCTTTGCTAAATATTTCTATCGTTTCTTAAAATAAAATCTGCCAAAAAAAAAATTCGCAATAATTATGCATCAACCTAATATTTCAGGACTCAGAGTTACATTATTGTAAAATTAATGATTACGCGGTATTAGTAACAAAATCTTGCTGACTAGTACGATATCTTTTACCAAGCCCGTAGCAGTCTACAGCATCTTTTATGGTTCTCCAGGAAATGCCATGCGCAAAAGTACCCTTTGCTTGGGGTTCAAGAAGTTCGGCGAAGTTCTTTATGTGGTTTACGGGCTTGAAGCGATTTATGGCTGAGAGGGATTCTCTTACATGGACAGTGGCACTGAAGACAGATTCGATTGCTGGCATGGATTTTATAGTGATACACTATGATAGAACGCGTCTTTGTTCTGTCGCATTTTTGCCAAAAATTATGACGAACGAAGCACAGAGAAATGGGCAACCCACTACAGTGTTTCTTAGCTTTCAACAGGAGTTACCCCATTATAGAAATTTTTCGAGATGGTGTGTTTCAAGGCCCTCAAAATGAAAGCGACTTGCAGTGGAAACCATGGCCATCGGGATTTGAACTCGTGGCTATGCTCTGCTGGCACCATGTTCTTCACCCCTTACACTACCGAGACCCTCCTAAGCTTGCCTTCCTAACGGCTTTTCATCCACAGCTTATTGAACTGGTATAACGCGAGCCGGTCAG